TTATTCATTCGTTAATTTTTATTTGACCACTGAGAGACAGGAAGTGAGAATGCAAGCCACCAAGTCTGGGACTCCAACGCGTGGGAGTGTCCAGCACCTTAACCACTATGCCACCTGCTACTCTTAACACTTCACTACATGACCTTTTTGTTTTTTAAGAGTTATTTTAACTGTATTTATTATTATTATTTTCCAATTTGACCAGAGAGAGACAGAGAGAGGGAAGTGAGAAAGGAAGCTACCAGGTCCAGGACTTGAACCATGGTTAGCCTGTGGGAGTCCAGTGCCTTAATCACCATGCCACCCGCTAGACCCCTCCCAAGATCATTTTAAGGGGGAAAAAAATCTACCATGAGTAGATTTTAGGGTACTTGGCACCTCATTATGTAGGTGATATTTCTGGCATCTTAGAGTTAAGATTTTTGTTTTTCCCTTTCAGGACAGTAAGTACTCATAGGTTGGTGTTATTAAATTGTGTATCCCATCCTGGGCCTATTATGTATGTTTAATAACAGTCACCTGTCTTACTTTCTGCTCAGACCATGTTACCCTGTGTTTATCCCAGTAGCACTGAGACTCTTGGAGATATTCTAGGTTAGAGTACAACTGATTTTGAAAAGCAGTGAGATATGAAAACTGGAAGTGGAATTAGGAAAGAATACAGAAGGGAGATTTAACTTTTTGAAATGTTTCTTTCATTTGATTGATGGGATCTAAGTATTTATTTGTATGAGTTAAATACTGTATAATAAATAAAAGCACTAAAAATTGGAGTAGAACACTTAATAATATTTGTAAGTTAAAAAGAAAAGTGAATGTCAGGAGATCTTTGTAGGTAATTCTCTATTTAAGTGTGGATCTACTTAATGGAATGAACTACATTGCCTTTCCCCCCACCCCACACATGTATTTCAAGAAAAGCCTGCTGCCCCTATTCTAAGAGTTCAGCCCTTGGGACAATTTAGGTTATCACAAAAGAAGATTACATTTCATCAGTGGAACCAAAGGTGATAAAATTAGAGTCTTTCTGGAGCCCTTATTTTGTGTCTGATTGTCTCTGATTCTTTGACTGGGTGGTACCCAGTGGTTTTCTTTCCTACAGTTGGGTTTTTTAGGGGTCATTGGCCTCTTTCATGATCTCATAAAAAGGCTGTTACCATTTAAAGAGCCCACATCTTACCAATCCATGTTGCTCATACCTTTTCTATTTCCTTGGCAGGCTCTTTTTTAGGAGATAAGGTTTGAATGGTAAAATTATCTTAATTACAAGTCTGAATTTCTAAAGCACTTCAATTTAAGAATATAAAAGAGTATAGAAAAGACAGAGATCAATTTATAAACCACTTTCAAAAGCAGATCCCTTGACACCTTCTGGGATAGCCAGATTACTTGCCTACATGTATGAATTTTAATTTTCATGACTGATTGCAATACCTAGATTATATGCTCCTAAGAATTGTTTAGTAATCTAATATTGACATAAGAGATAAAGTATGCTTTTACTGATATTGTTAAATTTCTAAAGATTGGAGCAGATTTCTTTTCATAGTGAAAAAATCAGCATCCTTATAAAGATATTATTGACATTCTGGATACTGGAGTTAGAATGTCTTTTGTTTTCTAAAAATATGGGTAAAAAATAGCAATGATCTTTGGAGAAAAAAACACTACAGTTTTTTTTATTTTCTCAGCCAAAGAGTTACTTAATCCAAGCCAAATTTTATATATATAGAGAGAGAGAGAGAGGGGAAAGCAGTAAGCTTAGTTGCCAAGAATTCAAGTGAAATATTCTCTGACTTAGTGTTTGTATTTAGTACAGATTGATCAAAATGTTATTTTTTGTGTAGTGTTCAATCAGTAATGTCTCTTTAGGAAGCCTTAAAGGCACAATGCCTTGATTCTAAATATGCTCTAGTATCTCTTATATTTATTTATTTGTTTAAGTTTATTTATTCTGACAGAGAGAGAAAAAGAGAGAGAGAGACAGGCGGGCAGGCAGGCATCCGCAGCAGGTCCTCACACCATAGTTCATCCCTTGTCTCAGCCAGCCTGGATCATGGGCACTCCTCTTATGCTCATGAGCCCAGGGTGCATAGGGAAGTGTCAGGATGCACACCCAGGACCTTCCCATATGGGTCTACTTGTATTGATGCTACACTGCTGCCTGGCTCTGAGTCTCTTATTACAATGTGACTTGTAGTGTATAGGGTGGGAACAGAAGCAAATAGTAAGAGATCTTGCACTGTAGGATTTTTTTAACAGTATATTTTATTTAATTTGATTCATTATTATTATTTAACTTGACCACAGAGAGAGAGAGATGGAAAGTGAGAAAGCAAGCCTCCAGGTCTGGTAATCGAACCATGGTCAGTCATGTGGGAGTTAGTGCCTTAACCACCACACCACCTGCCAACCCACACTGTAGGATATTATAGTGGGTTAACTGGCTCCATAATAATGATAACTACTACTTATCTCATTCTCTCTTGCTATTTTTTTGTATTTTTGAGACTATTTGTTTTTGAGAGGTTTTTGCTTTAGTATGCGTGCACTCTCTGGAGAGATAGAAAGACACAGAGACAGTGAGAGGGAAAGTGAAAATCACCCCTCCCAATGAGGATAGCTATGCCATAATCCCTTCTTCTCCATTCTTCTCCTGGGATCTTGGGCTCACATGCACAGGTTCTTGGCATAAGTTTCAAGCCACCAGGTTTGGGACTCAAACCATGGTTGGCCATGTGGGAGTCCTGTGACATAACCACTGTGCCATCTGCTGGCTCCTGTTTATTTATTTATTTATAATCACCAGAGGGTGCATACTCTTGCCAGAGATAGAGAAAGCGAGAAACCACCCTTCCAGTGGGGTGTGGTCATGCCACAATCTCTCTTTTTACATTTCACCATCCAGTGAGTACTTAGTTTGTGTTTTTCAAGCCATCCAGATCCGGGATTTGAACCTTAACCAATGTTACAGTACTGGACTAGTCTTTATTTTTCTAGCTCCTATTTATGCAACACCCATTATGTGTTTGCCCTGTTCCAGGCCTTTAAATAAATCCAATTTTATTCTCATGATAAGCCAATAAGGTCAATACAATTATGCATCCTATTCTATTATACAAAAGAATCTGAGGTGCAGAGACCAAAGAATTTGCCAAAATCATGTGGCCATTAATGTTTCTGAACTGAAAACAATCCAGATCTGCCTACTTTTTTTTTTTTTTTTTGGAGAGGTTTTTGCTATAGGGTGCGTGTGCTCTCTAGAAAGACAGAGACAGACAGAAAGTGAGAAATCACCCCCCAGAGGGGATGGCCATTCTACAATCCTTCTCCTCCATTCTCCTCTTAGAATCTTGGGCATGCACATGGCCCGTTGTGAGTTTAAGCCACCAGGTCCAGGACTTGAACCGCGGCTACTTAATACATGGGAGTCCAGCGACATAGCCTTTACGCTAACTGCCGGTCCCAGTCTGCCTACTTTTATAGTCCATCTTAGCCTGCCTCCGACCCTCCCCTCACACCCAACCTCACATACCACAAAGATGAAACCAGTGCCATTAGGTTTTCCCTAGAGTTTGCAATTGAGACAGCCTTATTTCAGATGAAACATGGACTCAATTAAGCAGTTTGCTGAAGGATACACAGCTAGTGATCACGGATGGCTTAGGGCTTTCTGATATGAGACCATCTCTAACTGCTAAACCAATCAGCGAGTCCCAGAATTACCTGGATAAGATCAATAAGATAAACAAAATTTGTTTTTGCTCTCTTTTTTAAAAAGAGTTATTTATTGGGACCAGCAGTTAACGTAATGGCTATGTCGCTGGACTCCCATGTAGTTGACCATGGCTTGAGTCCTGGACCCGGTGGCTTAAAACTCACGCTGGGCATGTGTGCGTTCGAGTCCAAGATCCCACAAGGAGAATGGAGGAGTAGGGATTGTGGCATGGCCATCCCCCTTGGGAGGTGATTTCTCATTTTCTGTCTCTCTGTCTCTGTCTGGCGAACACACGCACCTTATAGCAAAAACCTCTCAAAAATTTATATATATTTATGTATTTAATTCCAGTTGTTATTGTCATTTTAAAAATTTTTTTTTTTTTTTGAGAGAGATTTTTGCTATAGGGCGCGTGCGCTCGCCAGACAGACAGAGAGAGACATAGAGACAGAAAGCGAGAAATCACCCCCCAGGGGGGATGGTCACGCCGCAGTCCCTTCTCCTCCATTCTCCTCTCGGGATCATGGGCACGCACGCACACGCGCCCGGCGTGAGTTTTAAGCCACCGGGTTCGGGACGCGAACCGCGGTCGACTACGTGGGAGTCCAGCGACATAGCCATTACGCTAACTGCTGGTTCCCGTCATTTTAAAAATTTGACCAAAGAGAGAAAGGGAAAGCAAGAAACCAAGCCACCAGGTCTGGGACTTGAACCATGGTCCGCCCTGTGGAAATCCAGTGTCCCTATCTACCACACCGCCTGCCAACCCCCATGGATAAACAGAATTTGAGGATGATAGAGGGCTGTCAGCTTTTTGTTTTGCCAGGTAATAACATTATGAAATAAACCTACCCCTACCTCTTCCCAAAGACTTGTTATGTTTTTTAGAAGAGACATTAATTTTATTTATTTATTTATTTATTTTGCTAGCATGCCCAGTGTACTTCTCAGGCCACCCATTTCAGGACTGAACCACACAGTTGACTGTATGGGACTCAACTGCCTTAATCTTAACCTACACATGAGAGTCCAGCAACATAGCCACTACGCCAATGCTGGTCCCAGATTAAAAGAACTTTATAGTGAATCTAAGGTTTAAAAGGTACCTTAGAGTTTTCTGTGTCTATTTTTCTTTTTTAGTAAATATTCTCAGCATCCTAACTTTAATTAATAACTAATAGTAAATATTCTATTAAAATGGGAGAATACATAGGAGAAAGGCTCACTTCCAATATTTTTTTCTTGTTATTTCAGACCAAAACCGTGTGCGACTAAGCTCAATGACAACACATCCAGATTCTCTTCAGAAGTGAGACTTTCCAAAGGACCAATGACTCTGTTTCCCGTGCCCTCTCATTTTCTCCTACTCTGTAGCTATGTCTCGATCCCGTCATGCAAGGCCTTCCAGATTAGTCAGGAAGGAAGATGTAAACAAAAAGAAAAACAGCCAAGCAAAGAAGACTTCCAAACCAGCCAGCAAAAATGCAGCATCAGTCAAGAATATGAGCTCTGGAAAATTAAAGCAATTAATTCAAGAAAGAGATGTTAAGAAAAAACTGGAACCCAAACCACCCATGCCAGTCAGAAGCCTCCTGACGAGAGCCGGAGCAGCACGCATGAATTTGGATAGGACGGAGGTCCTTTTCCAGAACCCAGAGTCCTTAACTTGCAATGGGTTTACAATGGCTCTCCGAAGCACTTCACTTAGCAGGAGACTTTCCCAACCCCCAGTAGTCATAGCCAAACCGAAGAAAGTTCCACCTCCTAAGAGTTTAGAAAATCCACATGAGTGTGTACTTACTGACATGGGAGTAATGCACCCAGAAAATGATTCGGCCCCAATACAGGACCCCTTACTGCCCCCTGATATAGAGAATCTAATTGGTATACAAAATGTATCTGTAATCAAAGGAGAGAGCCAAGAGACAACCCAGTCTTGGTCCCAAAGTGTTGACGATTCCCAAATAAATATCCCCTTTCATAGTGGCCCCACAGCAGAGATGCTCTCTGGGCCATTGGAAGAAATACATTGTAGTGAAGGACTGTTCTCCGAAGAGGCATTGAATGATAGCAATTCCCCTAGAACGTTTGCTCAGGACACTGTGTGTGCTACTTTACCCCAAAGAGCAGCCTCCAAAGTTACCTCTCAAAGAAACTCCAGCATTCAGTTAGAAGACTTGGGTTCACAAGTAGAATCTCTTAAGCTATCTGATTCATACCCAGATCCCATCAAAAGTGAACTTGATTGCTGTCCCCCCTCCGGTTTTAATAAGGTTGTACCTGAACTGGACCTTAGGAACTGCTTGCCTATTGATGGGTCTACCTCTTTAATAAAACTCCTCTTGACAAGCTCAGAGCAAGAAACCCTTAGTGCTAATCCTGTTCATCAAGAGGTCCTCAAATCTATCCCAGATCAACAGGAAGTTCCTGACCCCACTGCTGTCCTAGGACAGACCTTCAGTGCTCTCCCACCTCAGTGGGAATTTTCTGGTGCTAACTCAGTTCATGGTGAGGCCGTGGGTGAGGCCCCAGTCCCACCAGAGATTCCTGGTGCTATTCCAGTCCAAGGAGAAATCTTTGGTACTATCCTCGACCAACAACGGACTCTTCGAGTGGGTGGGGTTCTTGCCCCAGACCTGCCTATTTTCCTTCCTGTTCCTCCTAACTTAATTGCTACCTATAATGTTCCCCCCAAATGGCCTGAGCCCCAGAGCACTCTCTCATATGGGCTTGAGGTCCAGGGTGCTATGCAGATTTTGCCTTTGGGCTCAGAGCACCCTCCTCTGTCTTCAGACTCAGAGATAAGCTCAGTACCTCCTGCAATGGCTATAAGCAATGTAGAGAATGAGAAACTAGTTCCTATACGCTTTCTGCCAGCTGACACTCAAGGGTTCACATTAGCCCCTGCAAGTGGACTCTTCCATCCTTCATTGGGTATTGACCAGTTTTCCCAGGCCGGTCCCAGCAAATCGGAAAAAGGGCATTCCCAGGTCATCATGACTACCCCAGCTGATGTCAACAGCAAAGCGGTGTCTGTGCCAGCGTCACTTGCCAGTACCTCCACTTCTTCCTATACAACTTTGCTACCTACCTTGGAAAAGAAGAAACGAAAGCGGTGTGGGGTCTGTGAGCCCTGCCAACAGAAGACCAACTGTGGCGAATGTACTTACTGCAAGAACAGAAAGAACAGCCATCAGATTTGTAAGAAGAGGAAATGTGAGGAGCTGAAAAAGAAGCCATCCATCATTGTGCCTTTAGAGGTAAGAAAATACCCAAGGGGCTGGGAGAAGATACCTGTAACCCTTGGGATAATGATCTGTGTGGAGATGACTACCTTCAGATGATTCATTCTTCTGCTTTGGTAAAATGTTGCTTTAAGTTATTTATAAGAATTTGTGGACCGACCTCAAATATGTCTTGTGCAGTGATGCTTAGTGTATTTTTAGGGTTTGTCCCACAAAGCTGGGACATACATACCCTTTCTCCATTATAGGATTTAATGGGGACATGAGGGATTTATATGGAATGTGGTTTTCAAAGATTGCCACTATGCTTCATTTTGAGTAGTTGCATGTCATTTAAAAAATTAAGAGTGGAACAAATTCATTAACTTCCTTGCATCCTTAAAAACCAGAGGAATTAAATTTACATCTTTTTTTTTTTTTCCGCTATAGGGCGCGTGCGCTCACCAGACAGACAGAGAGAGACATAGAGACAGAAAGCGAGAAATCACCCCCCAGGGGGGATGGTCACGCCGCAATCCCTTCTCCTCCATTCTCCTCTCGGGATCTTGGGCACGCACGCACACGCGCCCGGCGTGAGTTTTGCTGGTTCCCATAAATTTACATCCTTTTGAAAAATAAAATGGAATCCCTAATTTTTTGTTTGTTTGTTTTTAATTTTTTTAGAGGGGTTCCAGGGTCCCCACACCACAGATGAGAAAACTGAGACACTGAGGGATCTACGGCATGTCAGGGTCAACTTCAAAATTTTTTTATAATTATTTATTTAATTTTATTTATTCATTTATTTTAATTTGACTAGAGAGAGACACATGAGAGAGAGAGAAGAGAGAGGGAGAGAGGGAAAGTGAGAAAGCAAGTCGCCAGGTCTGGGACTTGAACTGCAGTCAGCCATGTGGGAGTTCAGCACTCCCAACCACCACATGCCACCTGCCGGCTCCATTGTTATTGTTATATATTTTTTTAATTTGACCAGAGAGAGAGAGAGGGAAAGTGAGAAAGCAAGCCACCAGGTCCAGGACTTGAATCATGGTCGGCCATATGGGAGTGTCCAGCGCCTTAACCACCGTGCCGCCTGCTGGTCCCTGTTTGTTTTTGAGAGATTTTTGCTGTAGGGTGCTCCTGCCCCCTGGAGGGACAGAGAGAGAAAGTGAGAAATTACCCCCCCAGAGGGGATGGCAATGCCACGTCCCTTCTCCTCCTTTCTCCTCTTAGGATTTTGGGCATGTATGCACATGCACCCAATGTGTTTAACCCAACGGGTCTGGGACTTGAACTGCAGTAACAACATGGGAGTGCAGTGACGTAACCATTATACCACCTACTGGTCCTACAATCCCTAATCTTGAAATTTTGCCTGAGAGGCAGAACAATAAACACAACTTTCATCCCAACTTTTGGCTGGTGATTTCTACCTGTTCTACCTATCTCACAGGCTTGTCGGGATTAAATGAAAATGGTTTGTAAACTCCAATGTGACATAGAGCATGAGTTTTTAGTATTACAGTTTATGAACCTAAAGTAGTGAAAGTGTCAGTTGATTTAGAATTTATTTAAGAGATTTTATGGAGATGGTATATGCAAACTGTTGATTTTCAGACTTCTAAAACATCTGTCAAGTGTGGAGTTTGATGATTTTTAGATCATTCATTTGAGGCTGTGTTTATCAAGTCTGCTATGAATGCAGGTATAATAGAATAGATAGATTTAAAAATACTGTAAACTTAGGACCAGCAGGTGGCATGATAGTTGAGACACTGGACTCCCACATGGCTGACCATGGTTCCCGTCCTGGACCTGGCAGCTTGCTTTCTCCCTTTTCTCTCTCTCTCTCTCTCTATCTCTATCTTTCTCTCTTTGTATCTTTCTGGTGAGCACATGCACCCTGTAAGGAAACTGAAAAAAAAAAATTAAATAAATAATTCCTTTTTTTTTTTTTTAAGAGGTTTTTGCTTTAGGACACATGTACTCTCTGGAGAGACAGACAGGGTCAGAGATAGTGAAAGAGAAAGTGAGAAATTACCCCCAGGGAGGATGGCCACACCACAATCCTCTTTTCTCCATTGTCCTCCCAGAATTATGGGCATGCAAACACACATGCCTAGCATGAGTTTCAAGCCCTGGGTCCGGGACTTGAACTCCAGCTGGACATGTGTGAGTCTGGCACCTTAACCACCACATCACCTACTTGTCCCTGTCTTGCATATTTTTTAAGCCACCAGCTCTGGGATTCAAATTGTGTAATCGGCCATGTGGGATTTGGTCCCCTTAACTGTTAGGTTGGGGCTAGGCCTCGTATTTCATTCTTCACATATATTATTGGTCCAGAATGCTATTTCCTATTGATTTGAGCCATTGCAAATGAGATCAGACATTTAGTCAATCATGTACTAATAGGCTTTTAAGCTGTTTTTAAAATATTTTGTCATTGTAAACCTTACTGCATAGAATAATCCTTTACTTAAGTCATTTGTGGGAATAGATCAAATGTGACCAGTTCCTGAATGATTTACAAAGAAACATTTAAAACACTTACTGGAGGTATCTACAGCAGAGAGACTTCCCTTTTAAGCTACTGATTTGTAATATTTCTTTTTTTTTTTTAAAAAAAAAGACTTACTTATTTAATTTTATCCATTCATTTATTTTAATTTGATCAGAGAAAGAGACAGACAGAGAGAGAAAGGGAAAGTGAGAAAGCAAGCCACCAGGTCTGGGACTTGAACCAACGAACCATGGTTGGCCATGTGAGAGTGTCCAGTGCCTTAGTCACCATGCCACCTGCTCGTCCCTGCTGCTACTGATTTGTAACATTTCTAACCGACACCACTGCCAGAAACCTACTGTCTGTAATAGGTCAAAATGCCATTTGTTCTCTTCTTCCCCAAACCTGTTTTTTCTCTTATATTATAGGTTCAATGACTTACTGTCTACGTTATCAGCCAAGATAGGAAACTCAGTTCCTTTTGATGCTTCCCTCTCACTCATCTAGGTTCTCTTGCTCTACAAGACTTTTCTTCCTTTTCTTGGCCACTGCTATTGTTGAGGACTTTATCTCCTGTTTGGAATAATTTTAGAATTCTCCTTATTATTAACAAGCGTTTGCTTTACTAATCTGGGTTGTGCGCTAGGGTTGTAATCATGAACATATCAGCTAGCTGGGAAGTCAGGAAGTTGGACAAGCTCTCCTTAGTGCAGTTCCACTTTTCTTTTTAACATTTATTTATTTATCTATTTATTTGTTGTGATTTTCAAGTCGCCAGGTCTGGGACTTGAACCACAGTCAGTCATGTGGGAATCTAGTGCCTTACCCACCACACCACCTGCTGGCCCTGTTTAATTTTTCTGAATAAAATCCCAATTCTCTTACCGAAATACATTTAGTGTTGTGTATATAGGCTAAATTTCATTCAAAACAAAACAAAAGAATACAGAACAAAAATTGTAGTGCCTTCCAGCTGCAGATGAAGGCTAGAATCATTAGCATGAAGTAAATTCAAGACCTTCAAGATCTTGGCGCAGCTGATCTCTGCCAGTCTCCTCACATTATACTTAAGGGTGCGGTAGTCTTTGCCTGCTTCCATTTCCCTAAGCTCTCAGGGCTTTTGCCTAGTCTCCTCACCCTGTCATAGCCTTCCTCTCCCTGTCAAACAAAACTCCAGCATGTACTGTCCCCACAGTGTCATAACCATTTACGGCTGTGTTCTCATTCCACACCAGGTGACTTTGTTTCTTTCCGTACCTGCCTACTTGGCATGTTGATAGGCACACAGGAAATAAGTGTTTGTTAAATGAAAACAAGAGTATATTTGCAATTCAAATAATCGATTACTTAATGTATGTGTTTATATTTGTCGGAAGGGTGCGTGTGCTGGCATGTTTGCCAAGGATAAAGAGACAGAAAGAGAGGGAGAAAGTAGCCCCAGAGGAGTGTAGTCACACGACAACCCTTTTTGTTCATTAGTCCATTCTGTCAGGATTTGGGACATGCACACACATATGCCCAGTAGATTCTAGATTCTTTCAAGGCTGACTGTAGTTTGAGTCCTCGATCTGGCAGTTTGAAAATCACACTGGGCATGTATGCATACACTCCCAAAATTCTGAGAGGAGAATGGAGGAGAAAAGAGTGTGGAGTGGCCATCCTCCCTTTTTATTTTTTTTTTAAGAGAGGTTTTTGCTGCAGGGCACGTGGGCCTGCCAGAGCGACAGTGGAGCTGGGGTGCTGGAGAAAGGGGATTTCAGGATGAGACACTGTCGAGGTGCTTCTCTCTCTCTCCATGTCTCTACTATGCTTCTTTCTCACTCGCCATTATTTAAAAAATGTTAAGAGGCCAGTCAGAGGGACCAGCAGTTAGCGTAATGGCTATGTCACTGGACTCCCACGTAGTCGACCTCGGTTCGAGTCCTGGACCCAGCGGCTTAAAACTCATGCCGGACGTGTGTGCGTGCGTGCCCAAGATCCTGAGAGGAGAATGGAGGAGTAGGGATTGTGGCGTGGCTATCCCCCCTGGGGGGTGATTTCTCGCTTTTTGTCTCTGTCTCTCTCTGTCTGGCGAGCACATGCGCCCTATATCAAAAACCTCTCAAAAAATTAAAAAATTAAAAAAAAAAAAAAGAGGCCAGTCAGAAGCATAGTGGTTCAGGTGGCTGGATCCCACATTACCTGACCTATATAGTTCAAGTCCAGGACCCAAGTGGCTTACAGAACATGCTAGGTGCATGTGGGTTCCCAGAACCCCAGCAGGAGACAGAACTGGGGGAGAAGGGATTGCATCGTGACCATGCCCCATGAGGGTTTTTTCCTTGCTTTTCCTCTGTCTCTATCTCTGTATCTCTCCATTGAACGCGCAGGCCCAGTGGCACAATTTTACAAAAAGTAAAAGAAAAGTAGTGTTATATGATACAAATTGAATCACTGTGTGCCATCTTATGGATGGGTCCTTCGACGTGATAACTGTCTAGTTCTAGAAATGTTATTTTAGACTGTGACACACTTATTTTATCCTTACTGTTGG